TTGAGCTTTTGTCTAATATTTTAAGACATTCCATGTCAATTTACTTAATATTGTCATAATCACGTTAAGAAATTGTTCGAAGAAATAGGAAAAATGTTTATAATGCGAAGAAATTTTAATGCACATTTACGATATCTTTCTCGTAACGTATAATTATGTTTTATAAACATTTTTTCCGTTATCTGCATGTCATGTAATTAATATTTGGATCGAATAAATTTTAATTAAGTATTTGTAAAATGTCCAGAAAGAAATTGTCAATGAATACACAACGAAAGTATGAATAGGGAGCGAAAATATGTCATTGAAAGTAATAATAACGATAATTAAATTATTCATCAAGCATTAATTTCGCATTTAGTATTAACGTAGACACTGCAGCATTATAATTGATGTGTAGAGTATTGTTAAAAAACATATTGTTTATACAGTTCTTTAAATCAGTTGTAATAACAGAAAGATGGAAACAAGATATTGTAATGTTGTTATACTTAAAGAATCGATGGACATTTAGATGCTCTTATGCTTCAAGAATTCTCTACCTCTACCACACTTTAATCTTGCTACAATAGCTTGGCAAATTTTCTTCTCTTTACTGTTTAGTCTTTCCTGGTTCATAACAAACATGCATGAAATTTTAAATATTCGCTGATGTTTAACAATTCAGAAGAACTAATAACAGTGTTACTTTGTTTACATGTGTTGAATTACACAACAATTATATTGATAAATAAGGTACATTAAATGAAAATATTTATCGAATGTCAAACAACATTTGCATTAAATTATTGAATGTAAATATATAATATTTACAAGATAATCGAGAGTTCAATAGTTAATCAGACACATAAAATATACAAACATAAATATAATTTCAACTTATGATCTTTTTGATCTTCGATGACGATAACGATGACTACATCGTTAAACTACGATAATAAACTTAATAAACAATAGTGGTGATAGTAATACTATTTATTAAATAGAAAAACTAATATTATGT